ACACTGTCAAGTGGTTTTCGACAGGGACGGCAGGGGTGATGGAGCGTGGCCAACTGTGCGCAGGCCCACCAGACTCAATGATGGGCAGTGGTTTTCGACAGGCATGGTGGGGGCAAACATGTTTCCCGACGTGTGCTGGCACGTGCGCAGACGCACCTGACGCACTCTGCACGAGCCCCGAACGCGGCGCACATGGCGCGGCTAGAGCGCGCGGCACACCTGGCGCATTCGGAGCACGTGGCGCATCTGGCGCACCAGGCGTGCCTGGCACGCTCGGGCCCCAGGGGTGCCTGGCGCGCGTGGCGCGCCTGGCACGCGTGGCGCACGCACCTCGCCCAAGCGTCGCGCACCTGGGGTCGGCTTTGGTTCCCAGTAGCTGTCTATCCAACGACGTCCGCTGAACATGCTCAGGCTCGGGTGTTACTTCTGCGGTGGGAGAGCGGTGGGAGTGAGCTAGACGGCTTGCGGGCGGGTGGGTAGCTCGATCACTGTTCCTTATTAATATACACCCCCTCCCCCAGGCGACCGGGGGCCAACCCGAAACCATGCCAACACCATGCCGACACCATGCCGACCCGCCCCCAACCATCCCTGCCAAAAAAACAATACAAACCACACTCTGCCTCGACATTTGGAACAAGTGCGGCCAACCCGATGCGGTCCCCACCCACCATCCCTGTAAAAAACAATGCAAAGTACACTGTGGGGCAAAGTCTTGAGTCATGTTCGTGAGGCCCGCGAGCACATTGTATTGTTTTTGACGGGGACGGCGGGGGTGTCAGCATATTCTCTGCTGTGCGCAGGGCTACCATGCCTGAAAAAAACACGCAACAAAAAAATGCACCGCGCGGCTAAATCTGGATCATGCGCGGCCATCCCTCGATTACTGTCACACTGTCAAGTGGTTTTTGACAGGGACGGCGGGGGTGGTGGCGCGTGGCCTGCTGCGCGCAGGCCCACCAGACACAATGATGGGCATCGATTTTCGACAAGGATGGCGGGAGCCGACATGTTCCCCGATGTGTGCTGTCACGTGCGCAGGCGAACCTGACGCACGCTGGGGAGCGATCGCGAGGATGGAACGAAAGAGAGCCGAGCAGGACTGGTTGAAGAGCAGGCTGGAACAGGGAGAGCGCGGAGCTGGGGCGGACGCGCGGGGAGTGCGAGAGTCACATCTGGACGCGAATCTCCACGTTCTGTACCCAGCCTGCGCGGCCAGACACGTCCGCCACCGTGCATCCAGCACGCGGTGGAGTGCCCCAAGGCTCACCAGCCAGTCCCCCTGCCCGCCTGCTCCCCCCGGCTGCTCCTGTAGCCCTTGATGATCTGCGGCGCCACGAGCCCGTCCTGCGGAGGCAGGGCAGCGATCGTTCGACCCCTGCAGCCCTGCGCCCGCGCTTCGCTTGGCCGCTGCTGCCCCGAGAAGCCGGCCATTGCAGGCATGCGGGGGAACGATGGGGGGGGGGAACCGCTCAGGGGGGACCGGCGACCTGGAATCGGCGATACATCGCCGATGTATCGGCAACAGGCCCCCGACAGGCCCGACAGAGGTCCCAGGCGGTGTGGGGCTATCGAGCCCCTATCTGCGATCAGTGGGCGATTAGGGGTCGATGCATCCCCCCCTGAGCCCATCCCCACTAACGTCGCCCTAGACGCCGTCATTTTTGAACGTTCCAACCTAATCAGAAGCCGATGTGGTTGGATGCCTGCGTCCAGCGGGCCTCAAACTTCAGAGCCGTTGAGCAGCGAATAAACAATGCTGGAGTAGTTGGGGCGTCTTCCGGGAGGTTTGAAGAAGGCAGACCTCTGATCAAGACAAGATCTCACGACATGATCGCGGCCTCTCACCGACGATTGGCCGCTGACACAGGACCAAGGGATGCGAAATGCGCACGCTCCAGTCCTGAGCCCGTTGCTCGGCAGGCGTTCAGCATGACTGTACAACGCATGTCAGGAGCATGATGGCAAGTTCGGGGGCAATAATTACTCGGAGCATGATCGAACGAGAGTCACGCAAGACCGTAGGCAAGCAACTTGGCTGCTCTTGGCGAGAACAGCGAAAGGACCGTAGGAGGGCCGGGAAGATGATAACGAGGATGAGATGAAGACGCCAGGCACGCCCCGTATCATGCGCCCACCGTCCTTAATGGCGCGGCACCGAAGGCGACGCGCCGTCAACAGCCGCCTTCGGCTGCAGCTCGGACGAGAGAACGGGGCGGATTAGGGGGGCAGGAGGGGGCTCGCTGGGGCGTGAAGGCGACAGGCTCTGTCCTCCAGGAAGGTCTTGGCCTCCTTCAGCAGCTCGCCCGCCAAAACTACGACGCTGGTAGTGCCGTCGCCGACCTACAACCCAGCAAAACTTGATGACGACTAACAAACGTCAAAAGATCTGCTGCCTAAGTCGCCCCACAACCCAACCACGTGACGCACCCGAAACCATGACACTGCCGAAACCACCGCCTGACGACCAACACCCGCAACCTTGCACGCTTCTAAATAATCATGCCGCCACTCATCCTGCCATCGCCCACTTGCTCGGAATCGCTCCCCTCATTCCCTGTCGCCCTCCCAGCAACGTTGACTTCCCCAGGTCCAGCAAGCACGCCGCCAAACGACGGCCAAGATTGCCCGAAGAGGCGGGCCGAGGCGTCTCCAAGAGGGTCGCAGGACCCACCTGGACGCCCCATGACAACCTAAGAAGGCCCCAATAGCTCCCGAGAAGGCCCCAAGAGGCGCCCGAGAAGCCCCAAGAGGTATGCACCAGAGCCCCAGGCATGCCAACACAGTGAAGCTGTCAGTTTCTTCTCCGCGTCACCCATCTCTCCCGCAAAGCTCGTCGGGAGGCACCCGAGGGAGAAACTGCCCTGGGGGAAGGGAGTCAGAGGACCCTTTCTCTGCGCGTCACGGAGGTACCGCTGCCAAAACTCCCGAGACCTCCCCAGAGCTGTGCTCTGACCAGCACTCCGAGGCGAATCCGGCCGTAGCGAGGGGGGACGGCCAGATCCGCCCCTTCGGATCCCAACATTGCCGGAGTTCCCCAAGAGCTCGCCCATGCGGTGCGCAAGATCGGCGGCGCGCCCGGGGAGAAAGGCGACGGAAATGAGGCCGGAGGGCTCCGGAGAAGCCTCGCCGAGTCTCCTCAGAGGCCCTCCGGCCTTCTGAGAAGCTGCTCCGCGGGCAAGAGGCCCAGAATGGCCCCGAGGTGGGCGGAAGACGGGCCCGAGACGAACGCAAGACGGGCCCAAGACGTCCACGGGGCGGCCCAGAACAAGCCGCGCGGACGTCGCCCCCAGGAGGAGGAAGGAGGAGGAAGGAGGAGGAGACAGCCCGAGCCTGGCCCAAGGCGGCCCCTGGACTGCCGCGGGATGCCTCCAGGCGTTCCCAAAGGGCCCCTTCCTGGTTGCCCGACGGCACATGTAAACAGAATTTGTTGGAGCTCCGCGCGGATTTCTTGGATCTGCGCTGGGGCCCCCCGGGCGGCGCCTCCGACGCCGCCCCTGGCGCGCTTCACGCGCTAGGGAGAAGGGTCAAGCGAAGATCCAAGAGATCCGCGCGGAGCTCCAAAGTTTATGGGAATGCGATTTCTCCATTCTTCGACGGAGGCCTCACAACAGGTCCGTCCATAAAGGAGCATCGGAGCTTCCCAATTTCCCAGCATACATGGAGAATGGAAGATGAAAGAAAATTGATGGAAAGCGGAGAAGATAATGAATGAGCACCGAAAACGACCCTACTCGCAAGCGATCACTAACCACTAACCTTTCCTTTGCCACGTTTCCTCTCCCCTCCCTTCTCCATCCTTCCTCAACCATCATCCCACCCCCCTGTCATCCCACTAAACAAACATCAGCAACCACAACTGGAAAACTCACAAGGCAGATGGCCCCGAAACGCTGCGACCTCTGAGTCCTGCGCCTTCGATATATCCACGAGAATCCTGAAATAATGTATTATAATCTCGTCTCAAGCAGATCGTTTGCTCGAACGAGCAAGAGAGAGGAGGGCGCATGGAAGTAAGAGGCAGACGAGCAACGAGATAGAAATACATATAGACAAAAGAAGAAGAAGGATGTCAGACAAGCGAGAGAGACGAGAATCCACCGACTCCCGCTTCTCGGGGGCGGCAAGGAGTGTGAGATTATTGTCTGTCCCCCGCCTCCGTTCACCCTCCCCTGGGGTACGAAATCCCGTCACAGACGGGGGGGTCTACGAGCTCGTCTACACACTTCCGAGGCACTCGAAGCCTCCCTGTCCACTTTCCGTGGCCTCCAAGAGATGCCCAGGATGACTCAAGAGAGATCCAACACGCCAGACAGGCCCCAAGAACATCCAAGATGACACCAAGACTGCCGAAGCGGCCCCGAAGACCCCCCAGAGGGTCCCAAGAGAACCTTCAAGCAGATCTTGAGAGGCAAAAATCATTGACTCCCGATCTCATTCTACACTATATTCTCGTAAAGACGTAAGACTCGGGTTCGGGGGACTCGGGTTGGCCTGACGGGGCCACATCGTGAAAATGACGAGACCCAGCATGAAGTTCAACGCCAGCTCCCGCTGCAGACAGCCCACGAAAATTGGACCGCCAAGATCCAGGACGCGGTCGTCAAAAAAAAACGTCGGCAAACCTGGTTTCCAGCGTACTCGAGTCTTACGTTTCCCGGATAGTCGCGTCCTCGCCTGTTCGGGCTTCTGCCAGCCCGAGGCTGGCCCAAGGTCGCCCAAGAGGCCCCCAAGTGGACCGGGAGGCGGCCCACGGGGGTCAAACAGACCTACTTAGGGCGGGGAGGAGGCGGGGGGGAGGAAGAGAGGGAGGAGGAGGAGGAGGAGGAGGAGGGAGGAGGAGGAGAGGAGGAGGGAGGAGAGGAGGAGGAGGAGGAGGAGGAGGAGGAGGAGGAGGAGGAGGAGGAGGAGGAGGAGGAGGAGGAGGAGGAGGAGGAGGAGGAGGAGGAGGAGGAGGAGGAGGAGGAGGAGGAGGAGGGCGGGGAGGAGGGGAACCTTTGGAAGTTGCTCACCCTTACTATGCGGGTTGACTGTAGGGGCCCTGGGAGCCCTCCTCCACAAGATGGCCCTCACGACACCCAGCATGCCCCCAAGAGGCTCCACAGAGGCCCCCAAGAGGCCCCCAAGAGGCCTCCAAGAGGCCCCCAGGAGGGCCCAGAAGGACCAAAACAAAAAAGAGGATCCCTGAGAAGACAAGGCTTCCAAGAGATGGGCCCAAGCCCAGCAAAGAGGCCCACGAGAGGCCCCCAAACAGACGCCGAGGAACAGAAGGGCGAATCAGCAACAACTATACGCTGGCATCACGACGGGAAGCGGCGAACAACATATACGACATCGAAAGCCGCACATATCCTCTTCTGGCAGTCGGCCTGATGGCGTAAGCCTCTGAAGCCTCCATACACATAGAAAACTGAGAAGAAGGAAACATTTTCACACGTGTGTGTGTGTGTGTGTCCAGAGGCACACGAGAACATCGAAAGGCGAACGCACCCATGTCTGCGCGCCCGCCCTCGCGCATGGCTTCGAGAGACGTGGAATCTGCACGGGCGGGAGCCCTTTCGAAAGCCGCCCAGGTACCGACGCCAACCGCTCATCGGAACGATGCGGAGATCCCGAGGCAGAAGCGGCATGGCGCCGGGATCGGGCCGGTGACCTTCATGGCGGCAGCACTGACCGAGCCAGAGAGCGCCGTCCGGATCCGTGGACTCGGGGCGACCGCACGGGGTGTCTGGGACGTGGGCCGCTCTCCGAGAGGACGCCTCGGCGACCCAGGCCCCTCCAGGGTGCGACAACGCCCTCCTCCTCCTCCTCCTCCTCCTCCTCCTCCTCCTCCTCCTCCTCCTCCTCCTCCTCAGCCCCGCATCGCCCCGCTTCCATGTCGATAGGCGCCCCTCCAATGTCGGGGCAAGGGCAAAGGTGGTCTGACCGGGAACGACTCGGAAGTTCGATGATGTCCGACACTGGAGGGGCGGCGCATACAAGTACATCGCAGTCATCGCTACTCTGTCCAGTAACTCCCCACAAACAGTTCAGCCATGTAAGATATCTTTGAGGTTAACTTTGACGAGGGTTGTAGGCTTAGGTCGGGCACGTCCTCCTACAGGCGGACTTTGAGGAAAAATCGAAATAGTCAAAGAATAACCAACAATAGTCAAAACAGCGCGAAGATTCGTCGTCGGACTATTTTTGGACTATTCTTGAATACTCCTCCTGTAGAGGGACATGCCCGACGTAATCCTAGGCATTCCCAAACGGCGCCAGCGCGGATCGTGACGTGAACGCCCCCCACCCCCCCACCAGTCACGCCCGTCATCGCCGGGGGAGAAGGAAAAACGGTCTCAAACGGTGCGGTGACGGATCTGATGGGCCTGTTTTCCACCACCACTACCATAATTAGGTAGGAGGAGAAGGACGAGGAGGAGGAGGAGGAGGAGGAGGAGGAAGAGGAGAAGGAGGAGAAGGAGGAAGACCTCCCCATTCTCCCTTCTCCCTCGTCCTACCTGTGGTTGTGGTCGTGGAAACTTGGCGAGTCGGGACCGCGGATCCAGCCGACGATCTCTCGGCATGGACGCAGCTCGCCGCCGAGCCGCTCCCACTGCGAGAGCGGCGGGGCCCCGGGGGGGGGGGGGGGAGGGAGGGGGGCGCGCGGCAGAGCGCGGCCTCGCGCGGCAGCGGGGGGGTGGGACAGCGGAGCTGCCCGAGCCCAAGACGCCCTGCTCCTCGCCCTCCTCCCTCCTCTCGAGCATCGGCGGCGAAAGAGGGGGGGAGGGAGGAGGAGGAGGAGGAGGCCTTCTCGGGAGGCTCGGGAGTCCCCCTTGCCTTCTGAGAAGTCTTCTGGGCTTTCCCCGATGGACACCGAAAAAACCTCTCAGAAGGCGCGATGGCTTCTGAGAAGCCCCGCCTCCTTCTGAGAAGCCCTCCTTCTCACCTCCCCCCTCCGCTCGCCGCCGATCCTCTCGAGGAAGACAAAAAAACTCCACAACACACAAAGGAGGTCCGCGCGGTGGCGGGGGCACGACCCGCGGAGAGGAGGTCCGCGCGGCGGCGGGGGCACGAACGACCACGGGCAGGCCGCGGAGGGCAGGCGGCGCGGGCGGGCGCGCTCGCCCCACGCTCGCTGCAGGCAGGAGGGCGCAGGCTGTGCATCTGCACCGCTCCTGGCCAAGCTCGGCGGCAACTCGCGGGGGCCTCCCACGCCGTCTTGGCGGCTCTTGCAGATCGACGCTACTCGACGCTAAGTCGACGCTGACTCGACGCTCATCGGCGCCAGCCGGCGCCAAATCGGCGATATCTCACCGACTCCCAGACGCTAATCGACGCGAGTCGACGCCAAAGGCGGACTTGAAAGTGTATACCAGGCTTCCACGATTTGCTACCGAAGGCTGGCATGGCCTGGGCCCAGGACCTGTGTGTACGGCCTCGTGGGCTGGGTCAGAGAGGGATGCGCGCAGCCTTTGGGCCGAGGATCGGTCTGGCCAGGGCCAGTGTGGGTGCATAGTCGACGCCGTTTTCCTCCCCGGCGCTCCCCCCGCCGCAGCCGGCAGTTCTGAGTGGCCCGGCTTCCTCTCTTCCCGTCGCGCCGGGGCTCCTCCTCCTCCTCCTCCTCCTCTTCCTTCGGTGCATTGCGGCCCTAATTTTCATACAGCGTCCCCTGTTGCCTTTCCGCCAGAGCAGTCGCCCTCTGCCTGGCCGCCGACGCAAAACGTATGGTCGACGCCATGCGAGGCTAGTTACACTCTGCGTCTGCTGTATCCTCTGCTATGTTCGGCATCTTTTCGAAAGAGGCCGTGTCAAATGGTAGCCTCCAGGCAACCCTTGAAAAGCGCGGCCTTTCCACACGCCGCTCTCCGCATGATCAGCTGAACGCATGTTCGCCAAAGTCTGCATCAGCATCTGCCCCGCCGACTCATTGCGCAGTAATGAAATGCACGGAGGGGCATCCCACCGCTCGTGTACCGCCAACTGCCAGCAGGATTTCGCGACGCATGTGCTGCGCTTCGGCGGAAGTGGAACCGCGTCGCAAGTATGGTCACACGCGCGCGCAGGCGAGAAACTCACGGACACCACGTCTCGGTAAGGAAACTCCGACGCGGACCCCAAGGAGACCAGAAGATACCGCCATGTGACAGCCATGGGAGGAATCATGACGGATAATACAACCTGTCATTTTCGATACACCAGTCACCCGAAACTGGGACAGCCGAACTTTCGCCCCCGACATTACCTGAAACTCTCTGTAAACATCTGAGGTACCCAGCCAGCTAGAAGCGTTGGCGCGAACAGCACTCCCCCGAGCTTGCCAGAACTCACCGAGAAAGACGCGGCCCGTGCATTGTGGCGCACCCCCCGGCCTCCAGCGGCGAGATCCTCTCGAAACAAAACGTTTCCGGCGGCATGCGGCGCGTCGTCACGGGGCCTTCGCCGCCGCCACGCGCGGCCAGGATCTCCCGTCCTGCCACCGTCGCACGACGCGCCCACGCTCGCGGCGACGCGGGACTGCACCTCTCCGAGGCCTCCGGGCAAGACGGCTTCCAGTGCTTTCTTCGATGTGCTCGCGCCCTCGACGCAACTCGAGGCTCGCAAGACGACGCCCGACCTGCTCCTGTGGCTCTCTCAGAGACTCTGGGCCAAATGTGTCCTCATCCTACAACCGCCTGATTATGGCACACCCACCAAACCTCTAGCACGGGCAGAACGAGGAGGAGGAAGACTATGGCGCCCCACTACCAGACCACTGGAGCGCTCAAACATTTCCGGTACGAGCAAAGGCGGAAGAGGAGGAAGAGGAAGAGAAGAACGAAGACTTGACGGCTGGAACCAGGGCTAGCAATGCAACGTCCCGCATGGTCAGCCGAAGAGCTATCAAGCGTCGTTCCCACGACATAGCAGGCGTGGCCTTGAGCCGACTGGCGGCATCCCAAGGCCGCGGTGAAACCCCGTGGGTGGGGGGCACTGGCGGCCTTACCTCGGCTCTCGTGGCAAGAGGAGCGGCGAGAGGAGCAGCGAGAGAACAGCTGAGGAAATCTGACGGCATGGGGCAGACTGGGGAGTGTCATGTCACAGCGACGTCCCTCCCCGCAATAGAGGAGGGGGGGGAGGAGGAGGAGGAGGAGGAGGAGGAGGAGGAGGAGGAGGAGGAGGAGAGGAGGAGGAGGATGAGGAGGATGGGAGGAAGAAAGGCGGAGAAAGGAGAGGAGGAGGAGGGGGAGGAGGAGGAGAAGGAGGAGGTAGAGGAGGAGGCGGAGGAGGAGCTAAGAGGAGGAGGAGGGGAAGAGGAGCCGGAGGAGAAGGAGGAGGAGGAGTGGATAGGAGGAGGAGGAGGAGGGGGAGGAGGAGGAGGAGGAGAGAGGAGGAGGAGGAGGAGAGGAGGAGGGAGGAGGAGGAGGAGGAGGAGAGGAGGAGGAGGAAGTGCAGGGGGAGGAGGAGGAGGAGGAGGAGGATGGGAGGAGGAGAGGAGGAGGAGGGGAGGAGGAGAGGAGGAGGAGGAGGAGAAAGGGAGGAGAAAGGGAGGAGGAGGAGGAGGAGGAGGAGAGAAGGAGGAGGATGGGAGGAGGAGGGGAGGAAGGAGGAGGAGGATGAGGAAGGGGAGCATGCGGAGAGGAGGAGGAGGAGGATGGAGGAGGAGGAGGAGGGAGGAGGAGGAGGAGGGGGAGGAGAGGAGGAGGAGAGAGGAGGAGGAGGAGGAGGAGAGGAGGAGGAGGAGGAGAGGGGAGTAGGAGTGGCAGGGGAGTATGAGGAGGGAGGGGAGGAGGAGGAGGATGAGGGAGGAGAGGAGGGAGTAGGATGAGGAGGAGAGGAGGGGGAGAAGGGGAGGAGGGGAGGAGGAGGAGAGGAGGAAGAGGAGAGGAGGAGGATGAGGAGGAGAGGGATGAGGTGGAGGAGATGAGGATGACGGCTTATGATTGAGATGAGTATGATGAAGTACTGACGAGTAGGAGGCTGAGATGAGGAGTAGGTGTGTAGGGAGGCGTTGCGTGAGACGGCTAGCGGAGCTGGGGGAATAAACGAGATGTGCGTATGGGAGGGAGGTAGTGAGGAGGAGAGGATGATAGCGTAGGAGGAGCATGAGGTGGGAGTCTGAGGGCAGGAGGAGGCGGATGGGAGGAGGAGGGTGTAGGACTGATGCAGGAGGAGGAGGAGGAGGAGAAGGTGGAGGGAGCAGGTAGCAGAAGAGGAGGCGCCGTCCTGGCGGCGGGGTGCACCACCTGGAGCTTCTTCATCACCGTCGCGCCGTCGTTGGTGATGGTCGTGGTGCCCCCGTCCTCGATCAGCTTGTCCATTCCTGCCCGCCAGCGCCCCAGCGGAAAGCTGGACTCGCGTCCCCCTCCGAGGAGCTGCACTCGGGAGGCTCCTCCGGCCTCGACGCGCCTAAGTGGCCCGTGCCCCGCGCCCGGCCCTCCCGAGCAGCCCTCCCCCGCCCTCCGAGCGCGGGAGCCGGAGCAGCGCGAGCCGTGATCGGGCTGCTCACCGTCGCTCGGACGTCCAGGGCCCGTGCATGCTGTCTGCTTTCGCGCGCGTTTTTGTTTTGAACTACGGCCGGCCCTGAGGCAGAAAGACTTCCTTCAAGAACCTGAGACCCTCGGCCGGCCAGGCTGAAGAACGTTCGAGGGCACCGTCCCCCAGGATGCACAAGAGCATCCAACAAGCGCGAAGAACATTGGGGTAGCCTCCCCGAAGGTACCTCGGCCCGACCGTGTTCCGGTTGGTCCTCCGCCGCCAACAGTCTCCCCTCCTCCCTCCTCCTCGCTCCTCGCCTCTCCTCCTCGCCCCGCCCCTCGCTCCTCCTCCTCCTCCTCCTCCTCCTCCTCCTCCTCCTCCTCCTCCTCCTCCTCCTCCTCCTCCTCCTCCTCCTCCTCGACCGTGTTCCACTTGGTCCAAGATGCTCCGAGATGGTCCTAATGCTCTGGCCACTGGCCTCGCCGCGCCAAGAGATGCACACGTCTGGGCGATACCAAGCGCAGCTCGCTACTGCTGGCCCGTGCTTGACCCGTCTCCCTCGTGTCGCTCTCTCCCTGTCCGCTCCCCTTGATGCTCCCGTTCCCTCCCTCCCTCCTCCCCCTCCCTCCCTCTTCCTTCCGGAGTCGCCCTCTTCGATGTCTCGGGCTGATTTGTGCCCTCTCACTGTTCCTTCCCCGTGTGTCCCACCTGCAGGCTCCGAACGAACACCAAAGCACACCAGCAGGGATAGCACAAGAGGCGAGATCGAACACTTGACCTCCACAAAGTATGGCATTTGCGTCAATTCGAGCGGCCATTGCTGAACAAGCAAAGGGCCAGGTCTGAATGAGGACGGTCCTCGAGGGCCAAGCGTGGTCTTGACTATGCTAACCACCGACAAGCAGGCGTTGATGTTGCTTATGATCTGGCCCTCGGCGCGGTTGCACATGTTGAGAAGGATTTGAGGCTGAGGAGCAGCAGAAATCAGCAACAAAGAGTGCATGGAGCAAGGAAAGGGGACGAAGTTATCCGAACGCGTTGGCAAAGCAGAGCCAGAATGACTCGGCTCTGCGCAAGTCATGCCTAGAGACCCACATTCCCTGCACGGTCCATCTGGCGAAGCCATCAAGTCTCCTTGTGCGGTGACGCGGGGGGATCCGGGAAAGGGAAAGAGTGCGGGGGGGAAGGAAAGGAGACGAAGTAGCAAGGGCAAAGCACGACGGGAGGCACGACGGGAGAAGAAGAAGAAGAAGAGAAAAAGATGAGCCCGTGGCTACCTTGCCATCCCACGTCGGACTTGTCCGGACGTGTCCCCCGCAAAGCGACGTGCATCCACGCCCTGAAGCGTGACGTGTTACAGCAAGACGATGCCCGTTACTCAGATTTGAGCCAATAACGCATGCGTAACTGCATCATTGCGAGCTGGGTGCGACCGAATACCCCCCGAAGCATACCCCCCCGGGCGTGGATCCACGGGCGCCTTCTCTGTCCGGAGCGGCCAATTCTTGGGGAGAGGGGCACAGACCATGACGCCCCGTGCAAGGGCGCGAAGCCCGAGCAGGGGGTCCAGTTGAGTTCAAGCTAACCGACGATCAACGACCGACAGCAAGCGGCGAGCTCAAACGCGCTCGAGAAGCCAGTGGGCCGTGGGCCGGGCAGCTCCTCCTCCTCCTCCTCATCCTCCTCCTCCTCCTCCTCCTCCTCCTCCTCCTCCTCCTCCTCCTCCTTTTCCTCCTCCTCCTCCGGGCACGCACTGAGACAGATGGACGGAACGAGGGCGGCCGCAGAGGAGGCTGCAAGGCGGAGGCCCCAGGCGCAGAGAGTCGTCGCCCAGAGGAGCGCGGAGCTGCTGCAGAGCACGGAAGGGTCGGGGCGGCTGGAGAGGCGCGGCGGCAGAGGAAGCCGCTCGCCGGCCTTGCCCTGCGAGGTGTCGGTCCCGTCCTCGGCGGGCCACGGAGGAGGCGAGGGGGCCAAGGCTGCATGCTGGGGAGAGCAGGGCCCACGCAGGGAGTCTACCGTCTGTCGCTGAGATCTCAACGACTTCTGCTGCCCCCGACTCGAGCTGGACCGTCCAAGACTTTTGTTGAAAGAAACATGTTTGCACCATTTCGGGTAGAGTTGCGAATCGGATGGCACTGCTGCTCCCGCGCGCCCACGACTTTGATATTGATTGTTGTGACATCTCCCCGGGCCCTTCGAATAAAGAATACATCCCATTTCAGCATGCGCGTCCGGTCTCAATGTTAAGGTCGGGGGCGGGGGGGTCGTATCATCAGCTGTCGTGCCGCACAGATGGTGCAAACTTGTTTCTTTCAACCATTGCTCCAGGTTTCCCAGGAGGTCTCTGGACGTGCCTCGAGTTGTTCGGCAATTCTACGGTTTCTCTGAATATACCTCGAATCACCTGGCTAATTCCTGCGAGTCGATTGGCGAAAAGTCGTCAAACCCTTTGGGAGTCTAGAGCCAGCTGACAGGCAAGTCACACGTGACACTCGGCGGTCATACAGCAGGCAGTGCAAAGCATGGCAGACATATGATATGTTGGATAGCGCCGCATGTTGGCCCTGGCCACAAGAGAATCGATGAGGTGAAGCGTCCCTTTTGTGAAATGGAGTCCTCCCTGAGGATCTGTTTCATCTCATCCTCCCCCTTGTAACGTTGGGCGGACTCTAAGTGCTATGCTTGTAGCGTCCCGGCTGAAAAGTAAAAAGTGTGGCGATCCGATTTAGAACTGGCGGCAACATATTAAGCATGCTGGTCAGTGTAAAAATACGTAAGGCAAATAGAATAGGTAAAAACAGTAGCCCATGAGGGTGCAGAGTAACTGAGCGAGAAGCCAGTGAAGTAGCTGGAAGGAAAGTACCAATATTCCCCCAATGTATCATCCTCGCACATCCTCTGCCCGCCACATCCTCCCCATCCTGCTCAACTGATCATCCTCCTGGCGATGCCCCTGCATTCCAAGCCCCAGCCTCTCCACTGGGACCCGGCTCTCCCGATTCTCTTCCTTCATTAGCTCCTTCTGCGGCGGCGAGCGAGTGGGGGAAGTGAGAAGGAGGAGGCCTTCTCAGAAGGCAGCGGGGCTTCTCAGAAGCCATCTGGCCTTCTCACAAGGTTTCTGCGTCTTCGAAAAAGGCGTATAGAACTTATGAGAAGGCCAAGGGACTTCCGAGCCTTCAGAGAAGGCATACTCCTTCTCACCTCCCCCCTCGCTCGCCGCCGACCGTTTGTCCTATGCAGGGCATGACTCTTGCTTTCCACACCCTGATTGTTCAGGACGTCGCCCCAGACCCTCACAAAGCCCTGGGATTGAAATACAGCCCGCCACTGGTACTGTAGATGTTCCAGCTTCCCACCCTGAGCCCACTCTGCGCGGACGACCTGCAAACCACGCGTGAAGGAGGCACCCACCTCAGGGGGCGGCCTGCCGTACGCATGGAATCCTAAAACTGCCACGTCCGGCGCGCTTTCCAGAACTCTTGGGAGCCTTTCGGGGCACTCTTGGGGCCTCCTGGGAGCTTCCTGGGGGCCTCTTAGAGGCCACTTGGGGGCCTCGTTGGGTCTCTAGGTCCTCTGGTTGCTTCTTGGGGGCCTCTGTGGCAGTCTTAGGGCTGTCTGACGCCGTCGGCAGCCGTCATGGGGGCCCCATCTGGGCCGTCCTGGGGCCTGGGGACGACGGGCTGTGCCAGGGCCAAGCGCTCAACGGCTGGCAGAGTGAAGATGGGCCTTCCGGCTGCACCGCGATCGCCCTCCGAGTTCGCCAGAAGCGGGGGGTCAGGAGCTGTCGGAGGCGGGCCCCGGGCGCACCCCTGCTGACTCGAGCACGGGCCCACGCCGGACGGCCCGCCTCCGGGTCCTGCCCACGGCCAGCACGCCAGCCGAGGGGGTTGTTTTGGCTCCCCCCCTCCTCCTCCTCCGCCGTCCTCGTTTTCTGACGCTGCGCCAACTTGAATCCTCGGACTGCAGCGCTCTTGCCAAATGCACATATATATAGAGAGAGAGAGAAAGAGAGAGAGAGAGAGAGAAAAAAAAAAAAAAAATAGAGAGAGAGAGAGAAAGAAAGAAAGAGAGAGAGAGAGAGAGTCCGACTCAGCGATGTGGAACACCAACTGAGCAGGCGGCACGTGTGCATCAGGGGGGCAGGAAAAATCCGCCAGCCCCCTTGTGGGGCCACCAGGCTGTAGGCCGAGGATTCGCAGTTTTCTGTACCAGTTGCAGCTTCCAGTTTCCACTGTTACAGATCTGCTTCTTGCTGCTTACTGTTCCTTGTTGGCTTCTTGCTGCTTACTGTTCCTTGTTGATGGACCGCGCGAGGGGGGGAGGCCCAGAACGGGCATTTTGTCCACGGAGAAATCATGTTGTCTGAATTGCTGGGGTGGGTAAAAATTAACACCCCTTACGCAGATCGGCGGGGTCAGGGTCCATAAACGCATGGGATTTGCCACATCTCTGACATTCGGTGGCACCCCTCAAGCAGATCGGCGGTGTCAGGGTCCAAAAACACATGGGATTTGCCACATCTCTGACATTCGGTAGCACCCCTCACGCAGATCGGCGGGGTCAGGGTCCAAAAACACATGGGATTTGCCACAGTTCTGACATTCGGTGGCACCCCTCACACAGATCGGCGGGGTCAGGGTGCAAAAACACTAGAGATTTGCTACATTTCTGACATTCTGTGGCACCCCTCACGCAGATCGGCGGGATCAGGGTCCATAAACACACGGAATTTGCTACAGTTCTGACATTCGGTGGCACCCCTCACGCAGATCGGCGGGGTCAGGGTCCAAAAACATGAGGGAGTTGCCACATTTCTGAAATTCGGTGGCACCCCTCACGCAGATCGGTAGGGTCAGGGTCCAAAAACACAGGGGATTTGCCACATTTCTGAAATTCGGCGGCACCCCTCATGTAGATCCGTAGGGTCAGGGTCCAAAAACATAAGGGATGTACCACATTTTTGAAATTCGGCGGCACCCCTCACGCAGATCCGTAGGGTCAGGGTCGAAAAACAAATAGGTCCCGACACTGTTTCACGGCGGCGCCCAGACCTCATGATTTTCGCTCTTCCATGGCCCTTTCTCCGAGAGAGGGGGCCGGCGGCAGGGGGCGAAGCCCTTACGGATAAAGTCAAGCAGAGAAACCCAGGCATTCCTCCTCCTCCCCATCCACCTCCTCCTCCTCCTTTTCCGTTTCCCTTTCCTCTTCCTCCTGCTGCGGACCCTCCCTCTCCTGATCCCCGTGCCTGTCAGGCTGCACGTCAGAGCGCCCAGTTGGGGAAGAACATGGTGAAGGCCCTTAGCTCGCCATCGCTCGGACGCCCATTCCTTGTGCACTGTTCGGTTTCGTGCGTGTATTTTTTCGCAAGGTGGAAAAAATGCTCCTCGACGGTCCTTGCCGAGAAAAAATGCACACGTCCGAGCGATGCCAGGTTAGGAAGCGCTTCAAGTGCACGTTCACCCTGCACCCAGGGACTTGCTCGGCTAACGGTTCTCGACCTTCCCTGGCCTGAGCAATCTGCGTGGACGCCACTACTAGCCTGACCGAGAGCAGGGCGAGAAAGAGTCCCCAAAGGCTGAGGGCGCGTCCTCCCCGACAGACCGTGTTTTGGAACTGACGTTAGCCACGGTGATGGCTTCTAGCAAAAGCCAAAGACTGCAATAGGCACGATTACTTCGAATATCCCCACGACTTTCGTCGAGCTGAGGGCGAGATCGGACACGACGGCGCGACAGCCATCATCCGTCCAAGCCCCAGTACGTTCCTCGTCGTGGGCTTGAAACAGCCCGTCTACCGCATGCAATCCTCAACATCCAAGACACACGTCGCCACCTGAAAGCTTCCACATCAAGCTCATAAGGACTGACTTTGGAGCCCACCAGTCCTTCAGCAGGATGACCGGAGGCCGCAAGAACTGCGACATGGCACCAAGCACGACCTCAGGGAGAACGCCACGGGAAGTGGAACACGTGGGACGGAGAGCAGCGGAAGGGAAGGAGGAAGCCGAGGGCCAAGCGACTGGGTTACTCCGCTACGCAGCAGTGCTTCCGCACTGCACCCCAAAAAAGTAATCGAAAAGCATGAGAAGCGGTACGGCTGCCCAACAAAGAACGCACAGCATTGACAACGGTACCATGCTACGGGCCTGACAATTCAAATGATCCGTCCCCCGAGTGGGGCCCGCGCGCTTCTGCTGGCGAAGGGACTCTGTCCTACTCTTCGCCGCATCCCCAGCGCCCGCTCATGCAGTACCAAATCTTTCGTGCGCAGACGAGTGGGATTGATACAGAAAGGGAGATGCAGAGACAGAGTGAGAGAGAGAGAGACAGAGACAGAGACAGGGAAGGAGACAGAAACAAAGACAGGGAGACAGGGAGACAGGGAGACAGGGAGACTGGGAGACAGAAAAAGAGACAGAGACAGATATAGAGACTGAGAGGCAGAGAACGAGAGAAAGAGAAAGAGGGACAGGCAAGAAGATAGATACGAGAAGGCAAAGATGCTTACTACGTAGAGTGAGGAAAGGGTGGGCGACAGATAAGTTCGCGAGCACGCGACACTGGTGGTGCTCGCGGAGCCCTGGGCCCTTGATTGCCCACCTTTCTGGTTGGAGGTCCCTACCGGCCTGGAAGCGCCTCACAGCGTAAGCGAGGAAACCCCTGTTTGCTCTTGCTGAATACATGTCCGCATCTTTCGATGCGTGCATGAGAAGGCAGGAATGTGCTCGTGCTGTCACGATGGAACGAAGAGTGAGGAGAGATGGGACTGGCAAAATGAGTGTTTTCGCACTGCATCAGCAATCCTACATCCTGCTCAGCCCGCCAATCCCATCCCAGTGCGTTTATCCTACCTTATTCGCTGAGCTGACAGCAGCAAGTGGAATATCAAAGCATGGTTTGCGCGAAGTTTTGTTCATCTTCTGCACCAGCGGGAAACAAGCGGGCCAACTAGAACCCAAAAGCGCGCGGGGCGGGAGGGCAATACCTCGGCGGAGACATTCGAATGACGGGGGGGAGAGAGCGGACACAGATGGTCAAGATGAGTGGAAGGACCCCGAATGCCGAAGACGCAGCCGAATCAGATGTTCGGTCGGCGATGGAGCATAAGTGGAATTCCGTTCGATCGAACACGCTCCGCTCCGTACTACCAAATCATCTCGAAACCTCAGTGTGGAGACAAAGAACTATGCAGGAGCGCTAGAAAACACATGAGGAAGCGCACAGGCCACAGAGAAGAGTACCACTCATGTGAATGTGGGAAGGCGCAGAACAGAAGGGCAAGAGCACAAAAATCCGCAGACATCCGCTTGCCGGCGATCACAGGCGGAGGACCGGCTCGACGGAGGACTGGTTCGACAGAGGACTGGTCCGACGGGGACTGGGTCGACGGAGAACTAGTTCGACGGAGGACTGGCTCGACAGACTGGTCCGACAGAGCATTGGTTCGACGGGGACCGGATCGGCGGGACCGGTTCGTCAGGCCCTGTTCGCCAGGCCAGTTCGCCGGATCCGGTGGAACGGGGTCTGGGGCGAACGGGGACCGGCGAACGGGGACCAAAGAACGGGGACTGACGAACGGCGAACAGGGACCGGCAAGCGAGGACAGGTGAATGGGGACACGGGCGAACAGAAACCCAGCGAACGGGGACCCAGAACGGAGACTCCAGCGAGAGGGGTAACAGAGGACACAGGACCGAGAGAGCGAGAGAGAGAGGAGGGGAGAGAGGACCGCGTGAGAGAGGAGAGTACAGCCGACGCGGCGGGCGGCCTCTCCCAGCGCGGCCGCGCTGCTCTAGGGGGCGTGGCGGCGCAGGGCCCTGCCGCGGCCGACGGTGGCAGCTCGGCTGTGTCTGCGCAAGATTAGCGAAGCGGGCGCGGCGAGCCGCCGGGCCTCGGCAGCACCCGGGGCCTCCCGCCTGCGGTCCGAACACTCCTCCTCCTCCTCCTCCTCCTCCTCCTCCTTCCCTCCTCCTCCTCCTCCTCCTCCCTCCTCGCCCTCCCCTTCTCCTCCTCCTCTCCTCCTCCTCCCCTCCTCCTCCTCCTCCTCCTCCTCCTTCCTTTTCCCTCCCCCTCCTCCCTCCTCTCCTCCTCCTCCTCCTCCTCCTCCTCATCCTCCTCCCTCCTCCTCATCATCATCATCATCAATCTCATCATCATCCATCATCATCATCCATCATCATCATCATCCATCCTCATCATCATCCCTCATCATCATCATCATCATCATCATCATCATCATCATCATCATACATCCTCATCATCATCATCATCATCATATCATCATCATCATCATCATCATCATCATCGCCATCCATCATCTCATCCATCCTCATCATCATCATCATCATCATCAACGTCATCATATCATCATCATCATCATCATCATCATCATCATCATCATCATCTCATCATCATCATCATCATCATCATCATCATCGCATCATCACATCATCAATCATCATCATCATCATCATCACATCATCATCCAAAAAAATCATCATCAGCATCAGCATCAGCATCAGCATCAGCAATCAGCATTCGTCATCAGCCGGCATCATCCGCATCAGCAATCAGCATCCATTCATGATCATCATCATCAGCTTCAGCATCACATCATCCATCATCAGCATCATCATCATCATCAGCATCATCATCAGCATCAGCATCAGCATCGTCATCATCATCATCATCATCACCATAATCATCATCATCATCATCATCATCCTCATCATCATCATCATCATCATCATCATCATCGTCATCATCATTAACACCAGCAGCATCATCATAATCAGCATCATCATCATCAGCATCATCATTATCATCAATATCATCAGCAGCAGCAGAAGCATCATCATCATCAGCGTCATCATCATCCTCATCATCATCATCATCATCAGCATCAGCATCAAGATCAGCATCAGCATCATCAGCATCAGCATCATCATAATCGTCTTCAATATCGTCATCATCGTCAGCAGCATCATCATCAGCATCATCAGCATCAGCATCAGCATCAGCATCAGCAGCATCATAATCAGCAGCATCATCAGCAACATCAGCATAATCAGCATCATTCTCATCATGATCATCATCATCATCAGCAGCAGCAGCATCGTCCGTCTTCCTCATCGGCATCATCATCATCATCATCAGCATCATCAGCAGCATCAGCATCATTGTATTCGTCATCATCATCAGCATCATCATAAAAGCTATCCTTCCCTCCTCCTCCTCCTCCTCTTCCTCATCTTCCTACTCATCCTCCTCCTCGTCCTCGTTCTCCTTGTCCTACTTGTCCTCCTCATCCTCGTCCTGTTCTTCCTCCTCGTCCTCCTCTTCCTCCTCCTCCTTCTCATCCTCCTACTCTTCCTCCTCTTCCGCCTCATACTACTCCTCCTCATCCTCCTCCTCCACCTCCTCCTCCTCATCCGTTTCCTCCACCTCCCCTCCAACTCTTTCTTCACTCCTCCTCCTCTCCTCCTCCTCCTCCTCCTCCCTCCTCCTCCCCCTCCCTCCTAAATCCTCCTTCCTCCTCCTCTCCCTCCTCCTTGTCCCTCCTCC